TTTTTTTATCGATTTCGATTCGTTGATTTTCCACTCGTTTTACGGCCAACGTGTTTTTCAGAATAGTGCATCGTATCGCTCGACCAACTTGTTTTACTTCATTTGCCATTTTCTTTCATTTTGTCCGTTTAATTGTTTATTCATCTTCCTTATCGTCAGTTATCTTCGATCACCATTGGATTACAAAACACGAAACTTACTTGTTACTGTTGTTGTTCAATTGTCATATATTGGAATTTCCTTCGACGACTTTACGATATGTTTTCTGTTTTTTTTTTTTTCAGCATTCGATCAAGCCATCGATCCCAGTAAAAGGTATGTCGTGCGCGAGCAAGCAAGTTATACGTTGTATGTGCTGTTGTTTGCACGAAAAACCCAGTCGGAAATCGATCACGTTCGCAAACCGATCGAACTGAGGTCGCAAAAGTTTAACTTGGACGATCGGTCCATCGCGATCGAAGTAGCCGGTTCGAACGCACGCGGGTCTCGTCGTATCGCAATCGTCGTCCAGCGGCGCTCTTACTCCATCGCGGTCTCGAACCGCCGAACGAATCGATTTTCCAAGCGATAACGAATGAAACACGCGTGATGTGTAGCGGTACGAGCGGTGTGTCAGCGCCGTGTGAGAGAAGCACCACCAGCGGCAACGAACGGCGGCGGTACGAGTGTTCACGCTCCAAACTATCGACGCTCTTGCGCCGTATGCAAAGGCACGCAAGGGCAAGGACCTCGATAGACGATGCGCAACGTGCTAAACCGACAGAGTATATAATCGCGCCGCGCGATTCGAGCCCACGTTTCTTTTCTATCCTTGCACACACATTCTCCTCTACTTTCTTCCTCTCTCTGCCTCTTTCTTTCCCACTCACGCACACACACGCGCGCGTCTTTTTCCCTTCTTTTCCTTCACTCCTTTTTTTCTTCTTTTCTCTCTTTCTATCGGTCCTACATCCCTATTTCGCGAAATTTCGACCGCGTAACTCCTCCCATTCGTCGCGATCATCGCCATGAGGTTCGATCCGTTAGGCTTCTGTTTCGGAAGAAAGAATAGGATCAATGGTACCGAAGATGGAACGACGGAGGAATTCGAGGTTCGAGACATTTCGGAGCAGCAGGTCTCGCAACCACACGGTAACCACGGTAACGCGATTCCTTTGGTACACGTGATTGCGTTTGAATTATTCTCGGCCGAGTCGGTTCGCCACGTTCGTTCGATTCTACCCTTGATTCCTTGTCGAATGCTCGCGAATGATGTGTACTTTGCAGCGGGTTCCAACAGGCAATTGTCGCGACAATCGGGACGGCCGACGAATATAATGCCACCCAGTAACACCGTGAATGGTCACGGTGATTCCGCTGGGTTGACGGGCCGACGGGAGATGGAAAATATTCCACCGACACCTACGACAACCGCTGCTTCCTGCAACGTCACGGTGGCCAAGCAGAAGCAACAACAGCTACAGTCTCAGCAACAGCAACAACAGCAACAGCAGGTGCAGATAGAAAATGGACGTGCAAGGCGGTCGAATGTTGTGAAGGAGGTGGAGAGATTGAAGAAGAACCGCGAGGAAAGAAGGCAGAGGCAAGCCGAGTTGAAAGAGGAAAAGGAAGCTCTGATGAACTTGGATCCTGGTAATCCGAATTGGGAGTTTCTCGCTATGATAAGGTCAGCAGTAGTCTCCTTTTTTTTTTTATATATTAACACTTTCACTTCTAGGTTCGTTAACATTAACACCAACAATAGAATATAAGAAAAGTAGGTAATAGTGTTGACTTTTGCTCCTCTACAATTACCAAAGTACTTGACCTGATTGAACTAGGACCATTTACAATTTTCTTAAATTCCAATCTTACAAGTTTTTCTTTAATCTTAAATCTTACAAGTTTTTAATAACATTGAAGAGTCTGAGTTTAATTAGAATTAAATGAGAATTTCAGAAATTAATTAGAATTTAACGATGAATTTTATTAACTATTAAATGCATGCATTCTGTGTAAAATATACACAATGTATTGTAGATATACACATTAGTTTGTAATTTCTATCTTTGTTTTTATTACAATCCTTCCAGGATATATATATATACTGTTCCATCATGTCTGTTTCTTTTTGCTTTACGATACAAGACTTTTAAAAATCCAAACACATACTTTGAAAGATTCAAATGGAATATCCTTTCAATTCTCATTTCTCATAAGTCATAAGATATTCAATCAACTACTAAAATTTGTAATTGAATTTTGTTCAAGCTCTTCAATTTAACTAAAAACATGTGTAACATGTGTGAGATAGTAATATATTTTATTCTTTTCTTCCTATTATTACCACTATTTACACTGTAACATTTCTACTGCTACAATTATTTTCTCTTATCATCTTGAATAGTTATATGTCCATGAATTAATGTATTAATGCATATTATCTGTGTTTCTTTTTAAAGGATTGAAGGATTCTTTCTCCTTTCCTCCTTCCAAACAAATCAAATTAAATTCAATTGGCTAGTCCTTTTCGTTGTCCTCGAGTCTCTCTCCCTTTTTCACGTAACATTGACATTTTTCTACCCACAGAGAGTACCAGAGCAGCATCGAGTTTAGACCTCTTCGAGAGACAGATGCCGTGGAGGATCATCAGATTACGGTATGCGTGAGAAAACGTCCGCTGAACAAGAAGGAGATTGCACGCAAAGAGGTGGACGTGATCAGCGTGCCTAGCAAAGATCAGATGGTGGTTCATGAGCCGAAAGCCAAAGTCGATCTAACCAAATACTTAGAGAATCAAATCTTTCGGTTCGACTACGCGTTCGACGAGACTTGCAACAACGAGATCGTCTACAAGTATACGGCTAAACCACTGGTGCAAACTATATTCGAAGGTGGCATGGCCACGTGTTTCGCTTACGGTCAAACAGGAAGCGGGAAAACGCACACTATGGGCGGTGATTTTAATGGAAAGACACAGGACTGCAAAAAAGGCATTTATGCGATGGTAGCCAAGGATGTGTTCAAATGCCTCAAACTTGCCAAGTATCGTCCGTTGAATCTGATTATTTCCGCGAGCTTTTTCGAGATCTACTCGGGCAAGGTATTCGATCTGTTGGCGGATAAGGAAAAACTTCGTGTTTTAGAAGACGGCAAGCAACAGGTATGCAACATACAAAGCGTTTAATTGAAAACAATAGAATACTTAATAAAGAACTAAGATTAGCAGAAAAATTTTTTTACAAAAATTATTTGGTTCAAAAAGAAGGGATATCGTATGATGTAAATTATTTTTTTTTTTTAGATTGGGTAGTGACAGAGATTTTTTTTTTTTTTTTTTAATGAATTCGTCAGGGTATTGCATATAAAAAAGTATTAACCTGTTTATATCGAGAATCATTGATTCAAAAGATATTTTAACTTTTACGAAACCTATTATGTGAAAGGCGTGGGATATTCTATCCGTTTTAGAGTTAAATAAAACATTCTATTTATTTCTTGCTTTTAACTCTTTCCTCTTCCGTAGGTGCAAATAGTCGGATTAACGGAGAAAGTAGTGGAGACCTGCGACGAAGTTTTGAAGCTGATACAACACGGGAACAGTGCCAGAACTAGTGGCCAGACTAGTGCAAATTCCAACTCGTCGCGATCGCACGCCGTTTTTCAAATCATAGCACGGACACCAGGCACGCACAAGGTTCACGGAAAATTCTCTCTGATCGATCTTGCCGGTAACGAGAGAGGAGCGGATACCTCTTCTGCCAACAGACAAACTCGTAAGTTTCTCATTGTTCAGAGATATATTTGAATCGCTCATTTCCCAAATCGGTTAATTCTACAAAACCAGAAGTAAAGAAATCGACAAAATAGTATATATTTTTTTCTAAAATTTCTTTTAATATTTAAATTCAAGTAATTGAGTAGTATTGTAAAATATATTATCAGAGGCTTTGTCTAATGGCATGCAAAATGCATAAGATCGTATGTTGAAATAATCACATTAGCTTCTGAAATACATTATTTGTTATTGCATGACTAAAGAGATTTTTATCGTTCGATGATATTAAGCCTTTATAATTATCAAGCAAATTTGTTTTAAATGTAAAAAGTTACGCGTCGATCGAGTGCTTTGGCACTAAAGTTTAAAAAAATTCGAAAAGTAGAGTTAATTACTTCGGACTATGAGCTAAACTGCTCATTTACAGAAGAATGAAAGTAAAATCAATGATTGATTTATCGTTCGCAGGTATGGAGGGTGCCGAGATCAATAAATCATTGTTGGCATTGAAAGAATGTATCCGTGCATTGAGCCGTAAAGGCACGCATTTACCATTCAGAGCTAGCAAGTTGACCCAAGTATTAAGGGACAGCTTCATTGGTGAAAAGTCAAAAACTTGCATGGTAATAGATAAATTTACTGGTTTCTCTCATTTTCTCACATCGTTGATCGATTTAAACGAGCCATGTTTTTTTTTTCTGTTCGCAGATAGCTATGATCAGTCCCGGAATGAGTTCCTGCGAACATTCGTTGAATACGCTCAGATACGCGGATCGAGTGAAGGAATTGGCCGCGACCGATCCAACAGAAATGAAAGCTTCTCCGACAGACGACGAACGGGAATTAAAAATCGAGGAGCAGTCGAACAACAGCGTGCTGTCGGATAGCGATTTGGCACAGCTCCGGTCTTTAAACGTAAGCCAGAAAATATAATTTCGTAACGTAAATAATTTGTAATTTAGCGCTTTGTAATTTTCAAAACGTCAAACTCGGTTTTTCCACGATATTTCTTATTTGACAGGAGGGTGAAATCTCGCAAGATCTTTACACGTTTCACGAGGCGGTATCCGCGTTGCAAATGCTGGAGGAGGAAGTCCTAGACACGCACAAGGTGGTCATGGACCACACGAACAGATTCGTGGATGATGCGCGCAATGTGTTCAGTATGACTCACGAAGTAGACTACGACCAAGAAGGTAAGACAGTGGTTCCGTGTTTGTCAGCTTATTCCGGTATATATTCGAACGTACCTTCGCATACACAGACACAACACTCGCAAATGCACGCACGCACGCATGTACGTACGCATGTACGCACGCATAGTACAATCAAATATAACGTTTCTTGTTTTCCCGTACTCGTTTCTATTTTCAGAATTTTTCAATTTTCACTTACGCCTGAACTTATGTTCCGACATGCAAATATTTATTTCTCTTCGTTTTTGCATGCGTACGCGCTCAATCCTTCCCCTTTGTACTCGTTTTTTGAGCGGTTCGATACTCTCTGCTTTTTATTATAAGTTTTCGCCCTTTTCTATTTTATTTTATTTTATTTTATTTTTTTTTTGTCTTTTATTCTTTCTTCTGTTCTCTCCTTTTTAATTCTGAATTTCTTACCGAATTTTTCGATGACACGATAACGCATGCCTGTTCGCCTCCGTCGCGTCCGATTGTTCAGAAACGAGCTACACGTCCTACGAGCGCTATCGTACTCTCGTTTTCGGTCTCTCGTTCATACCTCTCGGTTATCGATCGGACAATGTGACCTCGGTACCCCGCGACAGATACCCCAATACGGTGAAACGAAGAGCGAGAATCAAGTGGGATACCAAGCGTTATTGTGTATGTGGAATTTTGCGACAGATTCACGCGGTAAAGATAAGGGAAAGGCAAGCTGTCCGTTAGAACTGAACTTAGAGGATGAGAGGACAACGACGACGGGAATGTCAACGACGACGACGATGATGGCCGTGCCAGTTAACGACGATAGCTACGTCTCCTCCGATGCTGACTCGTGGTCCAACCTAAATAGAGTCATTCATACAGCGACAAAGAGCTCGTTAAAGTCTCCATGGATGAACGAGGTCGAATATAAAAATGACGTCAGCTCGTGCGATAGCGATTACGAATCGTTAAACATTATTGAAGGGACGCGCGTCGCGGCGAACACGGCCGACATCGGTCCATGGGTATCGTGCATCGAAAATATACTGAAGAAGAGCGGCTCGTGTGCGAGTCCCGTCGCGAAAGAGAACTCGTCTCGGACAGTGAACCGCAGCAGCGCGCAACGATCCAAACGGTCTATCGCCGGGAAAAAGGGTATACAAAAATATCATTGGTCCGGCACTTTCAATCGTGATCAAGCGAGAAGACATTCTTCGTCTTCCTGTGAGAAAACAAACGACGCTAAGACACGTCGTCCCGACGGGATCAACGTCGTCGCCGACTCGACTTACAATTACAACTTGAACGCCTCCGACGACGAGAAAACAGCGAAGAAGACGAAACTGTTTTCCCACGATAAGTTCAATTTGGATGACGAAAGCAGCGAGAGCAACGAGAACGTGAAACGTTCGCCCGATCGTCGATCGTACGCGAACCATTTCAAACACGACGCGTCGCGATTCAATGCAACACCGCGGTGGAGTTGGATGACGCACGGACAGAAGGAGGAGAGTCATCGTTATCGACAGGACGAAACGATCAAACAGGAGGAGAACATACGTGCGAATTTACGAAATGAAAAGTGTCGAAACGAGGAAAACCAATTGGGCTTTGGTGAAACACGGCCCTCTTCGAGGTCCTCCTGTTGCGCTGACGACGATGACGATCGAGTGACGGTCATCGATCGTTATCAAATCACTATGTCCACCGTTTACATTCGTAAATCTAATTCGGCGATCGACGATCGATCCAAAATCTTCGACTTTCTTCTGTCGTTTTTCAAAAATGTGATCCTCTTTACCTTCCTACCGAGCCTGTACATGGCCTTCTTCATCTACGTGAAACAAACAGAAGAG